GCAGAGCATCCTTGTGTTCAAAAATAGGCCCAAGTTACCATTACAGGATTTTGAGATTATGTTAAAGGAATAATAGGTCCATTGATTATGCAATGTTGACGAATACTAGAGTAACTGGCACCTTGTGTAGTTAATAAGTACATTACCTTATAGCCAAACGCATAGTAGTTTGTACAATTAATATCACTGCTGGTTACTAAGAAATGTCTAATTGAAATCTGCAGTCCAAAAATCAGTTGTTTACAGTTTCAAACCGCTGCCGGCGAAGCGGGTGTGATACAGATTTATAGTGCTCCGGACATTTTCGCACGCATGCTCGGCCGTACGCAATGCTATCATCAGTGATTTCGTAAACATGGACGCTCGTGATAAGGACCTTTTTGTCAGGGCTGTCCACGTGCGTCCGTGATTAGTACGTGTGTTTTACTCTATTTCCATGTTTAGTCTCAGCCAGCCAGACAGCCAGCCAGCCAGCCAGCCAGCCAGTCAGACAGACAGAAATGAGACGGAAATAGATGGTTCCCAGCCACCCATGTATGTGTGAATATATGCTCACAGCTGTCTTCATCACTGGTGTCGTCGCCACCGCAGTCAGCCATGCCGTCACACGTCCAGCTGCGCTGGATGCAGCGCGCATTCCTGCACATGAACAGCCCTCGCTCTGGCGAGCACACGTGAGCCGAGCAGTTGGCCTCATCTGATTTGTCAGCGCAGTGCGGCACGCCGTTACAGCGGTCCTCAGGATTGTAGCAGCCTTGAACCTTACTGCAGCGGATCATGTCGGAAGGGCACACGCCTGTCAAAAAGACATGCACGCTTAAAAACTAACAAAGCAGATATAGGGTCCGCACAGCTAAGGCGAAACATTATTTTAGACATGCTCAACTTTAAGAATTTTCTAGGATTACGATTATTAAAAGACTATTGCAGATTTCATCAGGAATTTCTAAACCTGGAAAAAGAGTTTCCAGGACCATGCATACCCTTATGAAGGATTAGTTTACTAAACATATGCCAGCACCTGTATTTGATTGTCCACACTACACTGTCACTCACTACACGTACTAAATACGTAATTGCCCATAGTGTGGCCTGCCCTGGGCCAAGAATCAAAGTGCGCACAAGTGTCAAACACATGAAATATAGAACTGACAGAGAAAGATGTTAAATAGTCAAAGAATATAAATGGGTTAATAATGATAATTGTAACCAAATAAATCATTTATAAGCCAAGATGAGTTACCTACCACACCCACGCTCATCTCTGCCATTTAAGCAATGCAACGTCCCGTCGCATGTCTGCGTTTGAGCACTATAGCAGTCTTCCTCCTCATTTCCACATTGCTTTTTTCCAGCACTACACTTGCCTAAATACGTGTGAGAAAATGTCAGACTTACTAATGGAGATACGAGCATATCACAAATCAAATTAGAAACTCAGTTTTTCTATTCATGATTCCATAGAAAAAAATGAGTTTAACCCATTCATAACTATATCGGCACACATTTTACTACGTGACTTAGCTTGACTTATTCTTTTCACCAAAGGAAACATTAATATACAAGAAAATTTATAAATTAACAATAATACATACATTAACATAAATATTATTCAATAACCATCGAATTCAATATATCTATTTCAGAATATAATTGATTCTACTAATCACTTCTAAACGTAAGTATATGAACTTCAAAAGTGTAGATACATTCAGTAAAAACATGTCTACTTTTTTTCAACTAATAAATGATCAAACAAACCCTAAGCTTAGAAATAGCTCGACTACATGATTCTAAGCACTATTAGTAAACTACTTGCTAAATTGGCATGTAACGTAAGATGTATACACATATACAACGTGAATGCCACTTCTCTCAAAGAACAGGAGCCAGAGCAATAGCTAAGTCTCTTACAATTTATTTCATCGGAGTTGTCACCACACTGGTCCTGTCCATCACATTTCCACTCAGCAAGTATGCACTTCCTGTTGTCACAGTGGTAGTTGTTAGGGCATCCCATGCTGCGTGCTTGGCCTGTATACATGCAGGAATAAAAAACAACAACTGTGGTTACTCTCAGCAATAGTAGCAGTTAGCTAGTTAGTTAGGTACACTACAATGTATAATATATTACACAATACAATACATTTGTAAATCACAATGTTATAGATATGTGATGTCAGTGAAACAAAATGTTCCAACGCGTAAACATATTCAACACTGAGCTATCATCATAATATCTACCTCTATTTCACGAATATACAACATGCTGGTTGTTGAATAAAGGATTAAAATGGAAATCAGATGAATAAGTGGCAGAAGAACATTAGCAGGTTTACTCTTTACATGATATTTTTCCCCATAGGTAATAAAACGGTGGAAAAACAAACTACTTTCTATCATAAAAACCTCGAATTTTAGCTTGAAGCCCTTCATAGAGATAAATATTGAACGGAAACGTCTCACATATTCTCAATAACACAAGAGCATTCTCAGGGTAAAATGGACCATGAAGGAATAGACACGAATAGGCAGATCGCAATGCTCTTTCTCATTTCATTATTCTACTCATTATCATCAGATATGATTATCAAGTTTTAGAAAACACGGGCGACCAAACTATCAATGAACCAAACATGGGTTCCTGTGAAACAGAATACTCACCGACCATGTATGTAAGCTGGAAGCCCCGGCCACCCGAGTGCCTGCTCTTGAACTTCACCCACATCTGATTTCTGAAGGACTGAAACGGCATCGGTAGGTAGGTGTCACCATCTCCCAAAGAGTTGCAGTAGCGGTACTTGTTCGTCATGCCTTGCTTGTGGCTCGGACCCAACTGCACGTAGTCAGAAGTGCACTTGGAAAAGTAGTCTGAATGTGCGTTGCTTCCACGGATGTCAAAGTCATCAAAACTGTAAAACAGCATGTTATTTATAATGCAAAGCACGTTTTATAATGTCGTGTAGATACGTTTATCTTTATAACAGTTTCAAATCAAATTATGCCTGCATAATAGAGTAATGTCATACTCATTTCTGTGGGCTGAGAATATGTATAGTCACAATGATCATGACACAGCAGGTAATTGCATCTGGCTATAACAAATGAGACCAGCCTGTTGCCTAGCTGCCATGCATGATACTTTGCTATGCTTGCTAGACACATATTTATATACATTGAGATGGAAGGGAGGAAAAGAGTGAGAGGCGAAAATGATGAAGAGGGAGAGAGAAATAGCTGGATGGATGGATGGATGGATAGTGGCGTGACTGGCACTTAAATGTATAATGAGTAAAATTAAATGGTACGCACTGGAGTCCGTCCAAAATTCTCGCAATTTTTGTTCTGATGCATCTTCGTGACAGGTAACTACTATATATAGACGCGGTGTCGTGTGTGCAGTGCCGCGTGGCGTCCGTGTGTGGCGTGTGGAGTGTGTCACTGTGTGTCGAGTGTGTGTGCGCTGTGTGTGTGCGAGCGTGCATGTGTGGCGTGCGTGTGCGCGCGTGCGTGTTTGTGTGTCCTCGTGTGTGTGCGGTTGCGTATTGCGTGGGCGTGTGCGTGTGAGTGTGTCACATGTGTGTGCGATTATAGGCGTGTGCGTGTTTGTGTGTCACGCGTGGTGTGCGTGTGCTGTGCGTGCTCTGAGTGTGCGTCCACTGTGTGTACGTGTGCGTGTGCGTGTGCGTGTGCGTGTGAGGGTCTGTATGTTTTGGACGCTAGAAATGATAACGGAGGTGTCAGCGGTGTAATCACGGCCACAGACTAAAACATGGACAGTAGAGTAAAACACACGTATACTAATCAACGGACGCCACGGGCGTGGACAGCCCTGACCAAGAAAGTTCCTTATTCACGAGCGTCCATCGTTTTAACGAAAATCACTCGATATAGCATTGGCGTACGGCCGAAGGCATGCGTGCGGAAATGTCCGAGCACTATAAATCTGTATCACACCCCGCTTCGCCGGCAGCGGTTTGAACTGTAAACGTAACATGATTTTTGGGACTGCAGATTTCAATTAGACATTTCTTAGTAACCAGCAGTGATATTAATTGTACAAACTACTATGCGTTTGCTATAAGGTAATGTACTTATTAACTACACAAGGTGCCAGTTACTCTAGTATTCGTCAACATTGCATAATCAATGACGCATATTATTCCTTTAACATAATCTCAAAAATCCTTGTAATGGTAACTTGGCCTATTTTTGACACAAGGATGCTCTGGCAGCGCTACTTTATGATCTTACTGTAAATCTAGCAATAAAACCATTGCAAAGACATTGAAGGCAAGAAGCCATGCTGGTTAGTGAAATAGATTGTCATGTTAAGTCAAAATGACTCATTATATAGCAAAATAGATATATATATATTATATCAGGAGTTAATGAGACAAACTTTGTCATGTTGTTCAATTGTTTTTTTTCTAGCAGGTTTGCCTGTGAGCCTACTCAGCTTATGAATCTCTTTAACTGCTACGCTACGTCAACCCGCGATACATGGCGTGTGGAAAATTGCAAGCGCTGCTTTTCTATACAATATCATCTGTAAGTACAATGTGGGCTAGTTTCTTATTTTGTAATGAGAATGTGTTAAGGTTAGAAGAAACGCCATAGAATTCATTTTTTTATACATTTAGTATAGACCATATTTCTTACTAATAGTTTCAAACCATCTCTCTCTTTCTCCCGCCTCCCCCTTCCTGCCCCTCCTCTCCCTATCCCTCTATCTCTTGCTCTTTCTCTCCCTCTTTCACTCTCACTTTCTCTCATTCTCTCCCTCTCTCTCTCTTTCACTCTCACTGTCTCACATTCTCTCTCTCTCTCTTCTCTCTCCTCTCTCTCTCTCTCTCTCTCTGCTCTCTCTCTCTCTCTCTCTCTCTCTCTCTCTCTCTCTCTCTCTCTCTTTCTCTGTAGTCGATATTGTTGAAACGTTAAGAGCATAACAAAAATCCACAAGGTGCTAGTGTTCTTCTTTCTCTCCCTCTCGGCGCTTC